AGATTTATTATTTTAGCCATGAATACAGGTAAAAAAATCATACTTCAAAGGTGGAAACTGCAAGAATTTTTGCACCAGTTTTTAAAGGGTCTTGAAGCTGGTCTCGCGTAAAGAGACACAGGTGATCGGAGGATCTCGTCTTGACGAGACCGAGAGCGACGAGACGGCGGAAATATTGACGAGATGTCAGTCGATTATGTAAAAATCGCGAGCACGCTATACAAGACGCAAAGCAACCACGGGGGAAGTTGAACGCTAACTCTAGGCCTTTTGTGTTGCAATCATCACATCATCAGGAGCTTGCAAATTTGCAGGAAAGAGGTGGAACAAAGGCGCTCCCTGTGATCTTGGACCTCCTCCTCTTTTTTGCAACATTGCAAGCTCCTGATGATGTGTTGATTACAACATGAAAGGCCTACAGCTATCATTCAACTCTCCCCTGATTGTCTCACATGTAAGTTGACGTCGACGACGTCATGACGCCATAAGAGGTTCAGGTATTGTTCGGTGACGTCACTAGATTAAGGGTGAAGGGAAGCTCAAGGTTAAATCTTGTTTTCTTTCCCCCTTCCCTTCCTTTTAATTATTTTTCCGTCATCCGGAACGCCGACACGTAGGAAACGAGCGTAAACCAGATGACTGTGCATTTGTGTGCACGTTTGTTCGTGCCTGTATGTACATGCTTGTAAATAGTCATGTACTCAAACACGCAATAAAGATATAAACATTAATACGAGCTCTTAAAAATTCTGATATTTACACGTACTATCAATGATACAAATTGCATATAAAACAATCTCTATTCTGACAAGCCGCACAGCAGTGATTTATAGTACTCAAGATGGTCTACAATTAAGACCTCTCTCAATCTGGTGGATTTTAGGAGCAAGCAACAGGATTTTCTGTGACAGTAGAGAGGCACTTGAGTGCTGGGTGGGAGATGTGATCTTTCAAGCGTAGGTTATTGAATACGTGAGCAGAATGCCAGCCGAGACGTTCCTCACTCTCCTGAGCTATACCCTGCCAACTGGATTAAATATCATCCGCATATGGACGTGAGGGAATGAGATTTTTCTCTCACCGAAGCTGCGTCCAGAGACGTCGTGCTGAACTCACCTGCCAGGATTACTGAGTTTCTCCTCTTCCTGTTCTTCCTTTTTCATGTGTGTATGACTGTGTATCGTCTTACTGGTGTATAAAAATTGGGGATTTAGCGTTTTCCCTTAATTCATAATAATGAAAAATAATAATAGTAATAATAATAATAATAATAATAATAATAATAATAATAATAATAATAATATTATTATTAATTATATATTATTATTATTATTATTCATTATTATTATTATTATTATTATTATAAATAACATTATCATTCTTATTATTAGTAGTAGTAGTATTATGAACTGCAGTCTGTTTGTGAAAACAGCCAGTAAATAATGTCTTTGAACATCATCGCCAGATTTGAACACTTGTTCCACACGGTGCCAAAAAAACAACTCCATCAGAAAATTCTGAACAAGAGTGCAGGCTTATGTACGTGTTTTTAGTTTGTTACCTATTGTACAATGAAGTCTAAACGGAACTTCTACATATTTGCGATTTCCTAGAATGTAGCAGAATACAGAAGTATGATATATATAGCACAATGATGTACGTATGAATCAGATAAACTATCTGTGTTTGGTAACATTTTGCTAGGGTATTCAGGTTTTATTACAATCAGATATGAGCAATTGTAAAATGTGGTGACAGCTAAATGTTTCTCTATGCGACACTGGATCGCTTTGCCGTGTTGGCGAGGTTTGAGCGGCCTAAATGCTTGACTGAGAACCCAGAAATCCGTTCTTTGCTTAAATAGTTGGGAGATTTTTCCTTTTGTTAGTTTTTTTTTTTTTTTGGTTTTGTTGTTTGTTACGTATGACTGGAATTAAATGACGGATACGGTCTGGACTGCGATTAACGGATTTAAAGTTGTTAAGATTTGTATTGTGATTATTTATGTGTTATGGAGATAAAATAGCAATCTAACATTAATAAAATATTGCTAACATAGTTGAAAATTGGCATTGTTGAAAGTGTATTAATAATGCTGTTAACTGTTTTCAATGTTAAAAATACTGAATAATCAATCGGTTATAATGGTCAGTAAATAATGGAACTCAAGAAATGATGAAACAGCCAAGAATGACTTGATATCTCCTTTATGTTTCGAGTATTTGGGCAGTAATATAATTTTTTTTCGGTTTGCTCACTCACAGGATGAGTGGCGCTGCCCAATCAACTTGCCCCTCGGGGCCAACTATAAAACTGTCTCTATCTGTGAGAGTAACCTGAGTTTCTCTCTCTGTCTCCTGGGTACCTGAAGCGACGCGGCTGTTGTCAGGAGCTGGTGCTGGTCCACTGGAGTTCCTGGAGCCTCGCTACTGTGCTGTCATGGACGAAGATGCACAGTTGGCCTCGCCTGTGGTTGCAGTCACCGCCACACACAAACAAGGTACGTAACATCAGTGTGTGTGTGTGTGTGTGGTGTGTGTGTGTTGTGTGTGTGTGTGTGTGTAAATATACTATTGTAGCATCATAATATGATAGACACTTATCAGTGAAACACATATATACGCAGGGTGAAATGGGATCTGTGTATTTCGACCTCTAACTGGGCCGTCTTTAACAGGAAAGGCGTAGAGAAGGACAGGTTCCATTTTAAAAAGAAAAACTGCGTAAATCTGCAGTATACTTATAGTGCTGTAGTTTTGGTCAGTTCTCTAACTCAGTGTGGAAAGCGGGACTTAGAACATTAAATTTGGGGCAGAGATGCATGATTTTAAAGATAAAGTGTGATTACATCTGGTTTCTACTACACATTAGATATATTGATGTTAGGTCTGAATGAGACCGGAGCTCGTTCATGGAATATTGTGAGAGTAATGTGTATCCATAAAACCCAAAGACATGATTTTCCACAATGTATGGTGACATTTGACGATCTCAGACGAACATTGGTGAAATTCGCATATTTTTTAATCGTAAAGCTAAATGACCTAATGCTTAGCATTAAATTTAAATATCATTGGGACAGAGGTATAACACAGGCAGGCTGATGACTGCAGCACATGTGCGGTACATGTTTGCACAACTGACTTTATTAATGTAATTCAGAGATATGAGGACGGAGTCTTTTATATTGGAGCCAGTGGAAAAATAGTAGTTAGAGGCAGCAGGTGAAGACATGGTCACAAGCGGGTGGGGTCCACTAGTGACATGAAACTTCCTTTAGTGAAGCTACCCAGGTGATACACACGTGTCTTAGCCAGTATCAGCATTTAAAGTTGAATCTGAATTTCTCACTCAGGAACACTGATTGATCACAGAATAATTAATACCTGTCAAGAAAGTGGTAGTACAAAACAAGATGAAAGACCACATCTCAACCATATAATGGAAAGAAAATTACGGAGTACAAGAGATACTAGAGGATTACAGGTCGAAGGAGAGAAAAGGATGAATTTGGGTAAGATATGAAGCCGAGATCCAATTTGAATAGTTAAAATGGCTAAAACGAAAGTAAAACTAGTCAACAGCCATGTAAAAAGAAAAAAAAATTGAAAGAAGAAGAGAGGGTAATTCGCAGAGAATTCCTGGTGAGTGTCAGTGTCCTGAAGACCTACAATCTGTTTAACCAAAACACTGGATTTATTGAGCCAAATATTTTCTTGCATCATCCACATTGTATAACATAAACTCTAATTTTGTTTTTAACTAGATTTGCATGATTCTTGCTGGTAAAGTCTCTGATGTAAGTGCCGGTGAGTAGCTGTTTGAAGCTTCCACTTGTAAGAAGCACCAGAAACATTGTTAGCTGGTAGCTCTTCAGATACTGTCAATTTGTGGTGATGATCCTCAGGGCACAACATCAACAGTAATGGGAAGGAAAACGTAATTTAGAGAAGACCTGGTGAATGGAGTCATATTCAACTCCTTGTCATGGATAAATCTCGGGGGCGTTGACCCCCAAAAACCCCTCCAGGTATGTTACTCCTCAAGTTAATCAGGGTTACATTCCCTTGAGACCTTCAGACGGATTTCAATAACAATTCTGTGTTCCCATAATGACAATTTTTGTAATATCTGATACTCATATGAATAGCCATGATTATTTCTTGTATTAACGTTGGTAGAAATACCGACAACATGTTAGGTAAAAGGACGCAAGTGCAACTAATGTGATATTTCAGTTCCACTTGAGTCCTTTTGCCTAATATGATTATTCCTCGTAGAGGAATGCTGTCAATCTTATCTGATGATCTGCTTACGTGCCTTTGTTTAGAATCTGCGGCCATTTGTTTGGCAGTATAGCTGTACAGATCACGAGGAACTTTAATTCTTATAGAGTTTTGACTAAATAGATTTCAGGCCGGCAGGACCCAGCTGTTAGATGATGTCATTAACTATTTTGAGTACCTCGCCGACACCATAACTAACCTCCAACGGTATCACAATAGACTGATCCAGTTAAGAGGCGGGAAGTATGAAGAGAGAATCCACCCCAGAAAAACAACTGGTTAAGTACACACACACACAACACACGCACATACACACATACCACACACACACACACACACCACACACACACACACACACAAACACACACACACACACACACACACACACACACACACACACACACACACACACACACACATACACACACACCACACACACACACACACACACACACACACACACACACACACACACACACACACACACACACACACACACCACACACACGTACCCATTCACTAGTACCTACAGTCCTGGTGAGCGAGAGAAATATTTGATTCCGTAGCACTGATTCTCTCGTGATTAATTGCCCAGGCAATCGGCGTAATTGAGTGATTTAATCAATAACCTGTCGTGGATATTTTACACAAACACTGCAAAATATAAATGAATTTTCGAGTAAAAGATAAAGGTCAGAAAAAAAATGTCTGGCGTAATTAGCAATCCGAATTATACAAATAAGATCAATTTGCGTATCTCTAATATCATATTTTTTCAATATTCTTTGTATTCATGGGCAAATTTAGTGAAGAAAAGGATAACAGTAGTTGGTAAGCTGAGGTGTTAGACACAAGTGCAACATCTGAGTATCTTTATTTGTAGATGTTTTGCCATCCAGTGACTTTATCAGTACAATACAAGGACATACTGTGAAGAAATATATACAAAAAGATGAGGTATTCAGTCCCTCAGCCTTGGTGTTGGTGAAGAACACCGTAGTCTTGAAGGCTACGGTGCTCTTCACCAACGATTACACATGTGTGTTTAATATCTCATCTTCTTGGTATTGTATACCATTTATGTACAAATTAGTAAGCTGATCGAAAGAAAGGAACCGAATATAGTGGATCTACATGAAACCTAAATTTAGCACGAGTCACTTGGACTTTAGAAAGTATTACTGATTCAGTCTGAAGGCATGAAGGTGTGACGGAATTTTCAGTGAAATGGTAGAATGGTTTTCATATATTGGTTTACCAGAGGCGTAGCAGCAGAAGCATTAGGTGAGGTAGGGGAAGAAGGAAGAAGGGAGGGAGGAAGGGAGGGAAGAAGGGAGGGAAGAAGGGAGGAAGGGAGGCATTTAGGAAAGAGGGAAGGGGGTAGTAAGAGAACGAACAAAGCAGATAAAGAGAAAAAGAAAAGAGGAGGGATAGTCAGCGTCTAAAAAAAGCAAAATGAAGAGTAAAACGCAGGAAAGGCAAGGTAAGGAGAGTCACTCTAGTCTGTTAAACAAGCATGACAAAACATTTTCCAGTTACAGAGTGAGGAAGGTATAGTGAGATACCGTCACCAGCAGCCTGCAGGCATGGACTGCGTACTCGGCTTATTTTATTTAGCAATGTTGGGTGCATCAGACGTGTGCTGCTACCCTTCACTCTAAGAGACTTAACCAATGTAGACTAAACCTGTGTTTCTTTATCATATTCCACCACACATGAGGTTTAATCCATCAAGTAATGAAATCCTTCAGCCTGAGTTGGGAAGACTTCAGGAAGGCGATGAGAATATCGTCAAGTTACGAGAGTTTCAGAAGTTTCGTTCTGGCAGCTCTGGGGTCACTAGTACTTGGGGCGTACCTTCTCTCATGTTAGCCTGCCCCAGCCATCATGCAAGACTAGGAAAATAGAAGGGAGAGGATTGGGAATGGTAGGGATTTTGTAGGTGGGTAAGGGTAGGAGTAATTAAAGGTGAGGCGGTAGAGAGTGCCACTGATCTCTGGCACTGTTAAGAATTTGGTAGTGGAGGCAGTGATACACTTGTAGAATATATTCTTCAAACACAGCGCCGAGAGCTGCTCGGTAGAAACCAAGATTATATATTTTTTTCACTCAATAATATGACGGGTTAACGTACCGTAATTTGGGTTGACCAAAATAACAGTAAACTAAGATAAGCTGGCTCACCTGGGCACAGCTTAAAGCGTTGATAGTCCGACACTATCTGCTTGTGATGTAGAAATCGTTACTTTGCACTGATTTGGGTTTATAGACCCAAGTCAGTGCACGCTGGTTAATGTATAAAATTACTGTTAATTACCAGAGAGAGTAACATGTAAACAAATGTTGATTGTAATAATAATAATAATAATAATAATAATAATAATAATAATAATAATAATAATAATAATAATAATAATAATAATAAAAATAATAATGATAATAATAATAATGATAATAATAATAATAACTATTATCATAATTATTATTATTATTATTATTATTAATATTATTATTATTATTACTATTATTATTATTAAAAATGTCCCTTGAAAGATGATTCTTAGAGTGGCTCTAGAAAATTTTTTGCTCCTTAATTTTTCCTTCTTTTCCCTTTAAGGTTTCCATGCGACACACACACACACACACACACACACACACACACACACACACACACACACACACACGCACACACACAAATTATAAGAAATACATTTTATCTGTTATATAAACAAACATAGCTCAACATATATAAACAAACACTTTTCAAAATTCGTACAAGCCATTTATCTTCATTCCATCTTTTTAATCTTGATGTTAATGCTGCTGCTGCTAACAGCGTTTATGTGGCAACTCCTCACGACGGCCTTTAGGATTTTGACGAGGGGAAAGGAGGGAGACGGCATGCTTCAAAGGGGAGTAAGGAAGGGGAAGCGAAAGTCTCTAGTGCCGTGGTCTTGCTGCGTCTTGACACAGCTGCAGGGTAAGTAGTGCCGTGGTCTTGCTGGGTCTTGACACAGCTGCAGGGTAAGTAGTGCTGTGGTCTTGCAGGGTCTTGATTCAGATGCAGGGTAAGTAGTGCTGTGGTCTTGCAGGGTCTTGATTCAGATGCAGGGTAAGAAAGTGCTGTGGTCTTGCAGGGTCTTGATTCAGATGCAGGGTAAGTAGTGCTGTGGTCTGCAGGTCTTGATTCAGATGCAGGGTAAGTAGTGCGGGG